GGCATTGGGGCAGTTCTTGGTGACTCCTACTTGTAAATTGTTAACTTTACTTTTAAATTATTGCTTAGCTTAAAAGCTAGGGTAATAAAGTCAGACATACATGGGCTTAAATCCAGGCCAACTAGAGACTTACCTGCTAAAGGAAGTTGGAAGAATTTATTTAATTTCTCTGAGTCTCAGTTTTCTCAGGAGCACATTGAAGAGACAGTCACACTTTCCTCACATGGCCACAATGATGATACAATGAAATAATTTATGGAAAACTCATCATCCAGTTTTTTTCACATATACTGTTTGCCAGGTTCTTTCATGTTGTTATTATTTTTTTAATTCTTGAAAACCCTTAAAAATTCCAGAGTCTTTATTACAAATGAAGACTATTTTAAATCATAAAGTCTGTCATTTTTATTCATGTATTGATTTACTAAAATATATTTACTGAAGCCTACTTGGTACCAGGCACTGTTTTAGGTGCTTGGGATATATCTGAGAGAAAACACAGTTCTGTACTCTTGTGGCTAGTTGGGGAGAAAACAAAGCACAATAAACTTTATAAATAAGTAAATGATGTTGTAAATGAAGCCACATAGTGCTAAATAAGTTTGGAATAAGATAAGGAAAATTGGGAGACTGACTGGGTGGTGGCTGATTAAATTTTTTAATAGCAAGGTCACAGGAGATGAAATTTAGGCAAAGACTTGAAGGAGGTAAGAGAGAGAAAGATGCAGATAGTTGAAGAAATGGAACAGCCAGTGTAAAGACCCACTGTGGGAGCAAGATTTGAGTGTTTGCAGAGCATCAGGGAGCCAGTGTGGCTAAACCAGAGTGAGCAAGGCATAAACTGGTAGCATACAATGTCAGGGAGATAAAGGGGGCATATGACTTCTTGGATGACAAGTAAGACTTTGGATTTTTCTCATGGTGAATTGACAAGACATAACAGGGTTTTGAGCAGAAAAGTACCATGAGCTGACCGACACTCAGTTGATTTGGAAGGCTCTCACTAGCTGAGTGCTGTCCAGCAGAACTCTCTATAATGGTGCAAATGTTCTCTGTTACCCAATATGGTAGGCACTAACTACACATGAACATGAAATGTGACCAGTATGCCTGAGGAAGTGAATTCTTAATTTGATTTTAAGTAATGTAAATTCAGGTTTAACAAGCCACATGTAGAAAGTGACTATCATATTGGACAATACAGCTCTAGTCACTGTGTTAAAAATAAACTGGGTAAGGTTGTGGGTAAAGTAGACCTTCAAGGCTTGTGAGGAGGGCCTGGCAGTGAGTTGTGTGTCAGGTGGCTTGGAACAGGGTGGTAGAAATGGAAGTGGCCATAATTGTTTAGATTCTGGAAATATTTTGAAGGCAATGCCAATATGTATAACCTAGTGGGAGATTTCTTGATAGAATGTGAGAGAAACAGAAGAGTCAAAGATGACTCGGATTTTTGACCAGAACTACTGGGAATATAGAGGTGTCATAGAGTGAGATGGGGACAGCGAAACATGAGACAGGTTTGGAGGAGCCGATGAAGAACTTTTATTGTGGATGTGTTCAGTTTGTAATGCTTCATGAAATTTGGTTTGCAAAAGTCATTAACATTTTTAGCATGTCGGGTTTTACTTGAAGGGGTATCCAGCCTATGGAATATAACTGGAGGTCATAGCAAGTGGCAGGACAGAATAATGGATAGCACTGGGACTCTTTAAAATGTTGCCTAGTTCAAAAAAATCATATGCAGGCAACATGAGACCTTGGGGTCTCTGTGGTTATGTTTTTTTTCCCTTAAATTAAGACTTAAGTCCAGGGAATTATAGATAAGGGAAAGTTATTTGAATATGCTGGTAAAAAGAGGGGGAGGTACAAACAAAAAAAGTTCAAACTCTGAGTTGCGTTTATTTTGAAAGGGAGCCTTCTCAAGGGGCTTTCATGGTCGTCAGAGCATGTAGTTGGCTATAATTACCCTTGACTTCTGCGCTCCACCACAGAAGAAATAACACGTTCATGCAGCCTGTCTTATTTCACTCTGGAATCCCTGTGTGTTTTTGTTTTGCTTTGTTTTCCTGGTTCTCTCCAGCTGCCCCTTCTCTTGGGCCTGTGGCTTGGCATTGGCTACGACAGCTAGCCCTCCTTTTCTTTGGTCTGCCCTAGGGCCATTTTGGTGGCTGCCACATAGGCACTGGATATGGGTTATGGCTTTTTCCTGGCTATAAGAAGAAAAACAGTTTAGTTCTGAAATGCTTTCTAGTGTAGGTTTAATCGTTTCAGTGCTATCTCTCATGCTCCCATTTCACATAAGCGGCTCTCTTACCCACATTGATTGATTTCCCTCAAACCCAGGGTGACTCAGTACAACAACAGGTAGAGGTGATGACCCTCATTCAGTTTGCTGGGAGGCTGCCATATGCTTTCTGCTAATGTCGGTGGCAGGTTCACGGGAAGATGTATATATTCTAGCTTATGAGCTGTATTGAGAGTTGGGAATGGTACACGTGCCCATATCTGGGGCAGCTAGTGGTGTTGGTGTTTCTAAGTAGTGTCCTTAATATTCTTCCATTCTCCTTTTGTGGGAAGAATTTTATGGTCTACAAGACCAAAATTACTGTATATATATATCTCTCTGGTTTCCGTATGTTTTCTTTTCTCAGTCCCATGGAAAGCTTTTCTTTTTTTGAGTGTTTCTGAAATATTTCTAAGCATATTCTTGCCATATTTTCTAACTGTAAAATCTACATGAAATGGAGTGTTTGAGGAATTAGGTACCTGGTTCGTTGAATTTTCAGGATTACAACAAGTAACGACAAAATTTTTTTTTCCTCCTCTCTGGTTGTTTATATTTTCCACAAAATGTACATGTTCACATTTCTATCTTAGGAAATAGAATGTGGCCACCAAAATGGAGTTACTTTGACCTTTCCCGATGTTTCACGACATTCCATTAGTGCCGTAATTCTGAATATCAACTTGAACTGTTAGAGCTGAAAGTAATCTGGTTCCATTTCTTTATAGGCTGGAAAACTGAGGCCTGGAGAATTTGAGAGCCTTCCAATACCCATCAATGGCAACTCCAGGCCCAGGGTAGTGGTTAAGTTACTAGACTCAGAAATCAAGCCAGCTTGAGGCCTGTCTTTGTTCCTGGCCAGCTCTGTGACTTTAAAGCTTCAACAGCATCAGAAGCTTGCTGAGTTTTTTCAGCTAAATGGGTTTAGATGAAGAATTAGTTCAGTTTCCACCACTAAAATGGTAATAAAAGTATTAGTTCCCTATCTAAATAAATTTCTACAAACTTAGTGTGACTTAAGGCAACACACATTTATTATCTTATAGTTCTGAAAGTAGACATTTGAAAGGGCTAAAATCAGGCCAGGCATGGTGGTGGCTCATGCCAGCAATCCCACCACTCTGGGAGGCCGAGACGGGCAGATCACCTGAGGTCAGGAGTTCCAGGCCAGCCTGGCCAACGTGGTGAAACGCTGTCTCTACTAACAATACAAAAACTGGCCGGATGTGGTGGCGCATGCTTGTAATCCCAGCTACTTGGGAGGCTGAGACAGGAGAATCGCTCGAACCCAGGAAGTGGAGGTTGCAGTGAGCCGAGATTGCACCATTGCTCTCCAGCCTGGGTAACAGAGGGAGACCCTGTCTCAAAAAAGAAGAAGAAAGAAAGAAACAGAAAGAGCGAGAGAAAGAAGGAGAGGAAGGAAGGAAAGAAAGGAAAGAAAAGAAAGGAAAGAAAGAAAGAAAGAGCCAAAATCAGTGTGTCAGCAGGGTTTTGAAGGCCTTAGGGGAGAAGCCATTTTCTTGCTTTTTTCACCTTCTGAAAGCTGCCTGCATTCCTTGGCTCATGGCCCCTCCTTCGTCTTCAAAGCCAGCAACATTCTCCTAGGTCTTTCTCAAGCTATAATCTCTCTGGTTCTCTTCTAAGCTCTTCTTTCCCATATAAGGACCCTTGTGACTATGTTAGGCCCATGTGGAAAATTTAGGACAGTCTCTGCATCTCCATTTCAACTGATGATGACCTCAATTGCATCCGTAACTTTAATTCTCCTTTGCTACACAACTTCACATATTCACAGGATCCCAGGATTAGGATGCGAATGTCTTTGGGGGCCATTATTCTGTGTACCACAGTCTAGCATTAGAATGAAATTATTTCATAGGTCTGGTTTGAGAATTTAATTGTCTATATATTTGAAAATTGCGATAGAGATGAAGAAGGTGGGCAGGCCTGGTGGCTCATGTCTGTAATCCCAGCACCATGGGAGACTGAGGTGGGTGGATCACTTTAGGTTAGGAGTTTGAGATCAGCCTGGGCAACAAAGCAAGAATGTGTCTGTACAATTAATCAATCACTAAAATATAAACAGCACTCATAGAAAATGCTTCAGTTAAGCAGACACAGGACTTTGAAAAAGCAACTGTAAAGCAGTTTTTGAAAAGATGAAAAAGGTAGTAATGATGATATATTTTGTAGAACTGCATGCGCTAGGCAAAACCATCACTTTACATGTAGTTCCTCATTTATCCTTGAGAATAAGTCTATAGAGTCAAGTGCTCATTTGATCACTGTTGTACAGGTGAGAAAACTGCAACTGAGAGGGATTCCATAACATGTCCATAGGGCATGAAACCAGGCATTTCAGGATGAGGATTTGAATCACACTTGCTTTATTCTAATCTTGATGTATTCTGCACGATGGTTATTATTATCACTATCATGAGAAACCAGATCTATCACTTCCAAGCCAAGTGTTCTCTAACTGTTGCTACCTACCTGCTGTTACTAAACACGCATGCATATCTGGATACTGTAGAAACCCCTCACTTACATAGTTGCTAAAACATATTAACTTTGGTGTTACCAACTTCACTGGCCTCTACTTTCTGAATAATTTATCTGATTCCCGCTACCCCAAAACATAATATTGTATATAACATCTTTGAATATTTTTGTTTTTATTGTATATCACCCTTACCAGCCCCTTTTTTTCTTTCAGGACATTTGCAAATCCCTTTGGTGCCATCGAGTAGGCCACAGGTGTGAGACCAAGTTTATGCCTGCAGCGGAAGGAACCGTTTGTGGCTTGAGTATGGTAAACTGCATACTTGTTAGTTTTTAGCTCCAGAAATTTGATAAGGCATAGAATTCAAACTGTTTGTGTTGTGACCTTAGGATGGAATGCTTTGGCATTTTATGTCTCTGACTCCTCTTTATATTAACCAACATTATGTAGGAGCAATTATAAAGCTTAATGCTAACATAACCCAGATAGCTCAATTGTTTCAGAAGATTTTTTTTTCTTTTTTCTTTGTCTTGCTGTTTTAGATGGTGGCTTGGCTCAAAATATCTCTATTTCAGTGAGCCAACAGGTTTCATTACATACCACTTTCCTTTTAAACTTATGGTATTTAAAAAGTCTCAGGGATCAGATGTCTTGTTAGTCAAGAAATGACTGTCCCTCCAGACCAAGGCTTCTGCTACTCAGCTCAACTCACAGGACCTGTCATTGAGCTTCTGACATGCCCTATAGATTCCCATCATGTACAGTGACTCTCCTATGGAAGGGTAAGAGATTCCTCCACCTAGTGTGTACCTAAGGTCCTTTCACTGGTAAGCATCTTCTACCCAGAGAACCACCTCCATTTTGAAAGATTATGGGAGATCTCAATATTTTGAATGAAGAACTCTCATATATTTCTATTTTTCTTCCTCTTTCCCAATAGAGTTTGGAGGGAGGGCAGGTTGCATTTGGGCTACTAGTAAATGATCCAGATTTGGGGAGTTCATTTGAAAGACCAATCAAAGAGGAGCTATGAATGACAAGAGATAATGAGATGTTACAGGTTTGCTGATCTTAATTATTGACTCTGTCTCAAGGCAGTATAAACCTATACAGAAAAAAATGGTCATTGGTTGTTTAAAGTTATTTCAAGGCTGGGTGTGATAGCTCACACCTGTAATCCCAACACTTTGGGAGGCTGAGCAGGAAGGATTGCTTGAAGCCAGGAGTTCAAAAACAGGTAACATAGCGAGACCCTATCTCTACAAAATATTAACCAGGCATGGTGGTGCTTGCCTGTAGTCCCAGCAACTTGGGAGGCTAAGGGAGGAGGACCGCTTCAACACAGGAGTTTGAGGCTGCAGTGTGCTGTGATTACACCACTGTAGTCCATCCTGGGCCACAGAGTTAGGCCCTGTCTCTAAAAAAGGTATTTCATTGCACAATAATTTATTGACTACTAGATATGGGGAACAGGAGACTCTGGGGATATAGAGATGAATAAACCACAGTTGTATTTCTTTAAAAATTTACAGTCCAGGCGGGGCACAGTAGCTCATGCCTGTAATCCCATTACTTTGAGAGGCCAAGGTGGGTGGATCACTTGAGGTCAAGAGTTCAAGGCTAGCTTGGCCAGCATGGTGAAACCTTGTGTCTACTAAAAATACAAAAATTTGCTGGACATGGTGGCGCATGCCTGAAATCCTAGCTACTTGGGAGGCTGAGGCATGAGAATTACTTGCATCCTGGAGGCAGAGGTTGCAGGAAGCCGAGATTGTGCCACTGAATTCCAACCTGGGTGACAGAGCGAGACTCTCTCAAAAATAAATTAAAAAAAAAAAATTTACAGTCTAGTAGGGGAAACACATACAGAAGCAAATAACGAATTCTCTCTTTAAACACACCTTCTCTAAGCAGTAGTTGCTATCAGGGCCCAGATGAAATGAGAGATGAATCTTGCTTGAGATTAGCTATGCACTTAAAATAAACCACAACAAGTGTGTGCGTCAAGATGGTTGTTGGAGTTTGGGTTAAAGTTCTTCAGTTGGATGATAGAAAGGACTTTTCAGAGAGAGGCCAACATCAGAGGCAAAGGCACAGATTTCTGATATTTGTTAGGACGCTTATTCACTATCTCTTAAAAAGGTTTGTAATTTTTAACTCTTTATTTTAAAGAAAATGAACATTTTAAAAATTGAGGAGTTATGTGCAAATTTTAACCTGATAGTGGTCTTAGGGAATCCCAAGGAGGACTGTTCTTGAAAATGTTAATAGAAATGTTATGGCCATGATGATACAAAACAATGAATTAGTGGAATAATTTAAAATATAAATACTGCTCAAGTCATTTTGACTTTTGAGGCATTACAACTTAGAACTTGTAACTTGAGGATTAGTGCTTTTTGTTTTTTTTTTTTTTTAAATTGAAAAAGCAATCGTATTACCTATAAGGGATACACAGGAAAATAATGAATGAGAAAAATAAGTGATACATCACTGAGGTCTAAAGATTGATTACATAAGCACCTCAGGTATCTACGTTCCGTGGGGAGTAAAATGTACTTGTGTTAGGCTTCAGTAAACAGAACATAAGATAAAGTCAGAAGTAAGAAAGCAAATGTCTTGATATCACTGCCACGCCACGTTATTTTAAAACACCAGGCTACAGTTATATACTGGTGAAAAGCCCTTAACTGTAATGTCATGCTCAACAGAAAGCATCTTAATAAGTTCCATCCATCATCACTCCAGTGAAATAATTATTACACTCATATATGGGTTCCTCAGATTCTTCCTTCACCAGGAGATATAACTGGCTGCTTGTTAGACTGTAAATTTCATGAGGTCCAGTGCCCTGGTTTTACTCTTGTTTCATCTGCAGTGTCTGACACACAGTAGCAGGTACTCAATGTTTCATTTGTTTCTCTGTAACTGGAACCCAACTCTGTCCTTCCTCTTCCTTCTCTAGTCCTTTGTCCTTCAGCGCTATTTGTACTGTGAATACTCAGCCAACATGTGGCAGTATGAAAGCCACTTACTTTTTTATCTAGAGATACGTGTACACGGAAAGACAGGTTTGTACATGCTGTCTATAAAAAGATACTGGCCCAAGTCATGGCCATTCAATTGGAAATTACATGTAGTGCCAGAAATATGTATGCTGGGCCTGGGCATGGTGGCTCATGCCTGTAATCTCAGCACTTTAGGAGGCCTAGGCGGGCAGAGCGCTTGAGGTGAGGAGTTTGAGACTACACTGGTCAACATGGTGAAATTCCGTCTCTACTAAAAATACAAAAAATTACCCAGGCATGATGGTGCATGCCTGTAATCCCAGCTACTCAGGAAGCTGAGGCAGAAGAATTACTTAAACCTAGGAGTTGGAGGCTGCAGTGAGCCGAGATTGTGTCACCGCACTCCAGCATGGGTGACACAGTGATAACCTGTCTAAAAAAACAACCAAAAAAAAAAAAAAAGAAAGAAAAGAAAAATAAGTATGTGTGAAAAGATGGAGCTGGGCACAGTGGCTCACACCTATAATCCCAGCACTTTGGGAGGCCAAGGTGGGTGGATCACCTGAGGTCAGGAGTTCAAGACCAGCCTGGCCAACGTGGTAAAACCCCGTCTCTACTAAAAATACAAAAATTAGCTGGGCATAGTGGCAGGCGCCTATAGTCCCAGCTACTTGGAAGGCTGAGGCAGGAGAATCGCTTGAACCTGGGAGGCGGAGGTTGCAGTGAGCCGAGATGGCACCACTGTACTCCAGCCTGGGCAACAAGAGTGAAACTCTGTCTTAAAAAAAAAAAAAAAAAAAAAAAAAAAAAAGATGGATAAACTTACAGGTGTACATATTGTAAATTTGCATTTTCTATGTAGAATTTTACCTGTACATGTGAATGTGTGCAAATATGCATGTACATTCCTATATATTCCTGATTTCTACACTGATTAAAAAGCGAAAGGGAAACAATCTGATAGCAGCCTAACCTAATACTGGAATGAATACTGAAGTAATAGAACATCAAATTAATTGAATGACTGGAAGAGATCTAAACACATTTTCCAAAAAGAAATTAGATTAGAATTAAGGTACATTGGTCAGTAATTTGCCTCCAAGATGAGAAGTAGAAGTGTCCTGCTTAGAAGTTCTGGCTACTGAGTTAAATCCAGTCTCTTATACTTGCATAGTTACTTGAATAGCTCTGTTTAGGTAGTTTGTGTCACTCTGAGCAGGTTAGCTAGTATTTCTTTGCTAAATTTCTCTTACTGAGAAAAATGGTTTTTAACTCAGTGCTTTGCAAGGATTAGATGAGATACTGCATGTGAAGCTGTCTGCACCATTTTTGGCACATAGGAGCAACTTGATAACCTGTGGCTGCTGCCGCCGTTAGTGTTATTGGCTATTGTAATTTTGTCTCAGCCGCTGAACTCAGTCCAGTAGAGTCTTCGTGATTCCTGGTAGAAAAGATGCATGCTTATGGTAGACAAAATCCTCAAATGACCAATTGCCTTCCCCAAAAAGTTCTCAGTAGTGTTGTATGATTTCATGCAAACTCTGAAATGGCAATTAATCCAGGGAAAAGAAAAATGAAAAACAGAAGAATTAATCAGCACATGGCAAGAATTTGAAGAAAGGAAGCAATATCTTAACCTAGACAAAGTGCACTAGCAACCAAACCACACAATAAACGGTCATGAAGCCAAATGTCTCACAGGGGAAAAGTGAAGATTTGAAAGTAAAACAACCTTCCCATAATTCTGTAACCGATCCCCCGATTCCTCAGCAAACCTGGCATGGTCCAAACCCCAGACCTTTGGATCTAATTGCAGAGGCCTTTAGAAAAGAGCAGTTATGCTAAGTCATGCAGAACTTGCTCATAATCAAAGCACTGCAGGGGTCGGGGGTGGGGGGTAGGTAACAACAACAAAAAAACAAAACAAAAACTAAAGAAACACTACCAGAGGCTAATGCATCCCCTGGGGAGAGATGACCAGGAAAGCCGGGAATTTGTTACAAAGGAGAACTAAAATGGAAAGGTTAGTACAGAAAATAGCTCTCTATCTAGCTTGTACAGATCATGGGCAAATGAAAGTCCCTGGGCTAATTCATCAAAGACACTGAAAGAGCTCAAAGTCATCAGAGCATCTGAAGTGGGCACCTTTATTTTATTTTTTTTTTTTTTGAGACGGAGTCTCGCTCTGCCGCCCAGGCTGGAGTGCAGTGGCCGGATCTCAGCTCACTGCAAGCTCTGCCTCCCGGGTTCACGCCATTCTCCTGCCTCAGCCTCCCGAGTAGCTGGGACTACAGGCGCCCGCCACCTCGCCCGGCTAGTTTTCTTTATTTTTTTTTTAGTAGAGACGGGGTTTCACCGTGTCGGCCAGGATGGTCTCGATCTCCTGACCTCGTGATCCGCCCGTCTCGGCCTCCCAAAGTGCTGGGATTACAGGCTTGAGCCACCGCGCCCGGCCAAAGTGGGCACCTTTAATGTAGACAAAAGGAAAAAGGATGCTATCTGAAGAGAACAATTTGTATAGACTGACTTGTTTAGTTTCATAAGAAATGCTCTATAGTGATGGGTTTGGAATAAACAAAAATATAATGTCTGTGTAATTGTATCTGTTTTATGATAAGATAATCATTCAGAATGATAAATTGTGTTAATATCTTACCTGTTACTTCTTGAATGAGTGATCCCAATTGTTTATTCAGAATGATAAATTGTGTTAGTATCTTAACTGTTTCTTCCTGGATGAGTGATCCCAATGGTTCTTTCAGTAGCGTTGTCTCTAAGTGGCAAGGCAGGCTTCATTGTAACTTTATACTGACTCCCTTGGCTGGTAGGTGAAATCTTATCATCTGAACATGTCACCTCTCCAGCTCACAAAGCGTATCATACTCAGCCTGTTGGTGAGCAATGCTACTTCTCTACAGATGTCAGCCTTTCAGAATGTATGTGGTCAATGCAGAGTAGTTGAGTGTTTTTAGAGCACAGCAAAGGAATTTATCAAGGTATCAGGCATTTTCCTTTTCTCCCAACAGACCTGTTTTTCCTGTTACTGTGCAGGTGTTGGCAACTCCCTGTGCTTTCCCAGGTGGTGTCTGACAGGAACCATCTTAAACGTTCTTTTCACAGTGGTGTCGGCAAGGCCAGTGCGTAAAGTTTGGGGAGCTGGGGCCCCGGCCCATCCATGGCCAGTGGTCCGCCTGGTCAAAGTGGTCAGAATGTTCCCGGACGTGTGGTGGAGGAGTCAAGTACCAGGAGAGACACTGCAATAACCCCAAGTAAGGCTCCAGCAGAAAGGTAGTTTTTGCAAGGCATTAACCTTCAGCCTGTCACACACCGGTTTTTCTTGTTCATACTTTAATAAGTTTTTTAAATTTTTAATTATTTTGGGTACATCATAGTTATACATATTTATGGGGGTACATGTGATGTGTTGATGCAGGTGTACAATGTGGAACAATCAAATCAGCATAATGAGATATCCATCACCTCTAGGCTTTATTGTTTCTTTATTAAAAAACAGTCCAAAATCATTTCTTTATTAGGCACATTTCATGGTTTCATTTATTTTAAGATATGCAATAAATTATTGTTAATGAGAGTCACCCTATTTGTGTTACTGAATACTAGATCTTATTCATTCTAACTTTTTTTTTGTACCCATTAACCATCCCAACATTACCGTTCTCCCTCCCCACTACCCTTCCCAGCTCTATCAATCCACTCTCTAGCTCTAGCTCTGAGTTCAATTTCTTTTCTTTTTTTTTCCTTTTTTTTTTTTAGCTCTCACATGGGAGAAAATGCAATATTTGTCTTTCTCCATTTGGTTTATTTCACTTAATATAATGTCCTGCAGCTCCATTCATCTTCAGTATGCTACCAACTTAAATTGTGTTGTAAATTAAGTTAAATTAAATGTTTTCCAAGCTTCCATCACATTGATCACAGGATTTCATTTTTATAATGGCTGAATAGTAATAAATGGGATTCATAGTATGAAATAGGATTAATACTATCATAATAGGCTGAATACTATTAATTTGAATAATACTATTATACTATATTATATATAATTACTATTCATATATAGCATATACAATACTATATCGTATATGTAAGACTATATATAATAGTATTAATATATAGTATCTATACTATCTAGTAGCATTAATAGGATGAATGGATAAAGAAAACATGGCACACTATTCAATTATGTATATGTGCCACATTTTCCTTATTTATTCATGCATTGAGGGACTCTTAGGTTACTTCCGTGTCTTGGCTATTGTGAATAATGCTGCAGTGAACATGGGAATACAGATATCTCTATACACTGATTTCCTTTCTTTGGGGTATTCCTTCCTTTTGGGATTGCTGGATCATATGGTAGTCCTACTTTTAGTTTTTTTGAGGAACCACCATACTAATTTACATTCCCACCAACAGAACACTTTTATATTTTTGTATTTCTTTTTTTATATTATTTTACTTTAAGTTGTGGGATGCATGTGCTGAATGTGCAGGTTTATTACCTAGGTACATATGTGCCATGGTGGTTTGCTGCACCTGTCAACCCATCATTTAAGCTTTAAGCCCCGCATTCATTAGGTATTTGTCCTAAAGCTCTCCCTCCCCTTGCCCCCCACCCCCCGACAGGCCCTGGTGTGAGAAAACACTGTTTTAAAGTGCCATTTTCTTCCCTCCAGTTAGTAACAATCAACCAGAGTTGTACTGTTCGCATGTAAAGTCCATGTGCACCGAGGGAAGGTGTGGTGTGCAGAACCAAAACACAGCAAAGGAGAGTCATTCTCCTATCGACCGTGATGATCCAGTAATGACCTGGAAGCTACTCTTCCATCTACACACTAGGGTTCTACCGTCATATAATTAAATACTTGGATACTGTCACGAACAGAAAAGTTTGGCCGGCAAACCTCGTGGAGTCCTCAAACCGGATGAACGCAGAAGAGTTATGCTGGTTTTTAGCCTGCAGAATGGTCACATCAACACTGTTGACAGAATCTGCCGTGGACTTTTCAAAGAAACCAGAAAAATACGGAAAAAATGCTGGCGCATGTGAAAATTTCCCAATTTTTAACAATATTGATACAGCAATTCAATTTTCTTTAAAGACAGAAAGAAACCGCGCCGGTGTGACAACTAGTCCCGATCAGCTTGTGGATTGAAAGTGGCTGTGGCACCTGTGGGCGGCTCTATTTTGGTCTGTCCATACTGGAAGTCTGCAACTGCAGCTTTGTGCTCTGTGAACATGAAGGGGTTTCACTGTTAACTTTTTTTTCTGTGTTCAGACGGAGTCTCGGCTCCTGTTGCCCACAGGCTGGATACAGGGCACAATCTCGCTCACTGCAAGCTCGCCTCCTGGGTTCATGCCATTCTCCTGCCTTCAGCCCTCCGACCGGAGGGTCTGGGATACAGGGCCCGCGCACCACGCCCGGGCTAATTTTTTGTATTTTTAAGTAAGAAGCGGGTCAACCTGTGTTAGGCAGGATGGTCTACCATCTCACTGATCTGTGATCCACCTGGCCTCCGTGCTGGGATTACAGGCTTGGAGCCACCGCGCTGGCCCGCTTTTATGTTACTTTTTTATATGTCTCTACTCCCACATGACAAACACCATGGTGAGATGTAAATTTCCAGTTCGGCAGGATGATGGTAGAGAGAGCCCAGGTTTGGCGTAGATACGAAAGAGCTCTAACGTGTGTCTGCCACTGTCCTTAAACTCTGTGCTTTGTAAAGTCCATTTTGACCTGGGTTTATGTACAAAAAAAATGTAGAAAATAACCTTGGAAGGTTGGAGAGATAATAAGAAATGCCATCTATAGGATGCCTGGAAGACGGGGGATACATTCCCGTGGGCATTCAACAGAGGTTATGGGATCTGCTGGTGGTTTTTTATCATACCTCATCCCAACTCCACCGGGAGGAGGGTCACAGAGGTCATCCTTACCAAAGGAGCGTGGAGAGCAGAGCTTTAACTGGGTACTGGACTTCACAGATGTGATGGAGTGAGAAGAATGTGATGGAACTTGGAACATTTTATTTAACAACACATTTAAAGTGCGTAAGCATTCTGAAAGAAAACATAGATACTGAAGTTAAGACCGTTTTTGCAATACACACAAAAACCAACATGACCATAGACAACTATCTTCTACACACAACACATTTATAAAACGGATAATGAATAAAGCACCTTATAACAACTGAGTTAAATGTTAGTAAAAGTGCCTTCAGAAAAAAATACATGTCAAATACAAATCCATAACTATTTGGTAAATTGAGAATACACAAAACAAAAAAAAAAAATAAAAAATGAATAGTACTTCATTTGAATCAGCAGTCTGAGTTAGATAAAAAGTCATTTTTTTTCCCCAAAATATAAAGCAGAATTTGGAGACACTTGGACCATCACGTGTTAGGTGCTACTTGGAATATCGCAGGCTAAAATAGATCTTTTCAATTTCAGCACTATTGACATGGGCTGGAAAATTCTTTGTTGTAGAGGTTTGTCCTGGACATGGTAAGATGTTTAGCAGCATCCCTGCCCTTGACCTACTAATGCCAGTAGGGTCCACTCTTCTTCCCCCCACCCACCAAACTGTGACAACCAAAAATGTCTCCAGACATTGCCAAATGTCCTATATGAGACAAAATCATCTCTGATTGAGACTCACAGATGTAATCAGACCCAGTGACTGAATATAATGATAAGGAGGCTGGTGATGCATTTGCAACTTATACCGGGTTATTGTTTTAGTAACAATATTAAAACAATTAATGATGTTGTTTCAGTATCTCCTGGTTTAAGCAGGAGGGTAGTTTCTACCTTCCTGATACTTTGAATGCAACCATGTCTTAAGTTGAATTGTTAAAATCATCATATTACTTTGCATTTTTGAAGCATAGTTCATGGATCTGGTTTTCATACATTACAACATTTTACAATCTCGATATTTTCCCAAGAAAGACATAGATTACCTAATTCAATAGCTCTGCTGGTAAAATGCATGAATGACACCCCTGAGATTTAAATTAAAACCTCTCATATCTGTAGGATTGAGAGCTCTCATTATAATAGGGCATTGTTCATGGAAACAACATATTGTAATTTAGAGATGCCTAATAGAAGAATTAATCACTAATGTATTTTCATTCAGTGCAGTTTTATCATTTTAAACAAGATTAAAAATAAATCAGGATACTGTTTACTTTATGCATGAAGCCAAAAATAAGTAGATGATAGGTGATCCCGAGACAATTGAATTAATTGTTCTCTCTCTGTTCTTATTTCACTCTGTTGCAGTAATGCTGGTTTCTTCTCCCTGTTTCAAGTTATGGATTTCTTTCTTGCTTCAGTTTAAGTATTTGGTTCTATTAATATCGCTCAGTGTAGCCATTTTCATTGTCTCATCCAAGAAGCAGTGTGAGGTTTCTGTTTCATATAAAGGTGTTTTTCCCAGAACAGATTTTATTTCATAAAAAATGAATGATTCTTGACTGATTCATAGATTTACCAATTTTTTGTTGACGGCTATCTGGCTCTGGAATGGCCAATGCCAGGCACACAGGGACGTCCTTTGTCCCATGTAAGTGGTAAACAATGTTAACTGATGGAAGCCCTGTTTTTCGCTGAGCCCTCCTATGCCTCAGGGACCTTCCCAATATCCTTCTGTAGGCATTTGTTCCAAATCAGGTTAGAACTGACACATGAGTTGAAACCTGCTGCCTAATCCAGTTATTTCACAGATGAGTAACCAAGGGAGGCAGAGGGCCCCATTCAGAGTAGCAACTCTTGCTCAAGTCCCCATGCTGGTAATGGCAGAGTCAGATTAAGATCCCATAGTCTTAATCCTTTGACATTTTTCGTTTTTTTCTGGTTATTTGTTTATTAAATTATCACCCCATAAGGGAGCCCTAGTGAAATTTCTATAAACTCTCCAGGAAAATTATTAGTGGTGTGGTAAGGTGTTCTAGAACTTTCCTAAAACATGAGTCTGTTTGAGAAAGAATTGTCTGCTAACTCTAACGCAACTTAGCACATGGAGTTAGGAGGAAAATCATGGCCCCAGAAGAATAATTGACTCTAACTGGTGGTGTATTTTCCAACCAGTAATTTTGAGGCTCAACTGGTTATCAGAATCACCAGGTGTGTTTTTAAACATACTGATTTCTGGATCTTCCATATCAGGTACTGTTATTGAGAAAGTGGGTGGAGGTCCCCAGGAATCTGTATATGTATATAGTTTAACAGAGCTCTCTAAGTGATTTTAATACTTATCCAAGCAACACCATTATAAATATTTATAGTCAGGACTTGATAAATGATACAGAAGCAAATGCTGGTATGTTCTTTATAGCTGTCTAATATAAGGACAAAATCATGTGCCTAGGTTTTTGTTTTCTATTTCTATGTTTCTTTGTAATATTAAAGAACTTCTTACACCAAGACATATCATGATAGAATTTTCTGTTAAGTTAGGCTAACACTCATGTTCAAAGGTGCAAACAAATATTGTCTATATTTTTATGGAAATGCCCAAATGCTTGCCAGCAATTACTTTTGATCACTTTGACCATATCCCATAATTAAAAATGAAATGTAATAGTATATAAAAATCAGATCACATAATACTCAGCACAGGGTGGGTACTCAATACAAAAGCATAAGGCATTTATAAATAGTTATAATTTATTCTAACTCTGCCCTAGGTACTGCCCTACATTCTTTACAAAGGTTAGGTCAGTTAATTGTCACAGTTGTTCCTATTTTGCAAATGAGGAGGTTAAATAAAATCGCCTAAAATTAAGCTGGGAGGAGGCAGAGAATACTGTGTTTAAATCAGGGTCTGGCCAGGTTTAATGGATCATACTTGTAATTCCAGCACTTGGGGAGGCCAAGGCAGGAGGACTGCTTGAGGCCAGGATTTTGAGACCAGCCTGGGCAACACAGAGCTTTGTCTCTGTAAAAATTTCAAAAATTTGCCAGGCATGGTGGCACATGTCTGTAGTCCTAGCTACTCAGGAGGCTGAGGTAGGAGGATTGCTTGAGTTCCGGAATTTGAGGCTGCAGTGAGCCAAGATTGTGCCACTTCTCTCCAGCCTGGGTAATAGAGCAAGACTCTGTATCAAAAATTAAAAAGAAAAAAAAAAAAGAATCTGCCTCATTGTAAAAGGCCAGCTCCCTAAACATTGCATGTTATTCATCTTTCTTTCCATGCCTGGCCCCATGGCCTAATAACTCAGTTAAATGCAGGCATAGTTAAGTAGGAAAAAAATCCTGGACTGAGTCCACAGGCCTGAGCTTGAGCTCGTCTCTGTTTCTTTCTAGCTGTGTGACCCTCCTTCAACAAGTTTTGTGAGCTCTTGTCAGCTGGTTCCCACTTCATCTATAAAAGGAGGACAATGGCTGTATGAATTTGGTGGTCTTTTCCACGTTACAAGTTCTATAAGTCGATAAAGTAACACCTTGCAGTCCTCTTTCCCTTCATTAACTTCATAGGGTCCAAATGAGGTTTGTTAAATCTCAGAGAGTCTTAAACTGAGAAATTAGTTTTAAATACGCCTTGTAAAGATGACCAGGAATATTGAGGCTATGATATAGCACTTTAAGATTTTTCTAAGTGCTTTTTAGATAATCATTTAAGAAGTCTTCAGGGATCTGATTTATCACAATGGCTGCTGCATGTTTAAGCAGTTGCTCTAGAGTGTTTTGAAATAGCATAAAACTCTCATTCTGGCAGTGTGACATTTCCCGTTCCTGTTGAATCCATTTTAGCATGCAGCTATAGGAGGACTGGATAAATTATGCTGAAGCAATTCCAGGGCTGTTTTAGAGCATACTTGTGCTTCCTAAAAAGACAAGGAATTTTAATCACATAAATTTATTAACCTGGAGCCGCCTTTCATGTTACATGTTGGCATCAAATCTTTATACAAGATGATCCATAGTTGAGTTTTGGCTTTCAGAGAAAACTCCAAATGGGAGGAATGAAAAGAAACCACAGCTCTGTGCACAGAGTAAGCTGGATACAATGATGTGGGTAATTTTCAATGTGGTGGTGCTCTTTTTTCCTTTATTTTGCTTTCTGGTTTTTGCAGATTAGACTCTGCCTACCAAGATCTTAAAGAGCTTGCCTTTACATCATAATTATTTATGTTCTAATGGAATTCCCTACTCTGGAAATCCATTTCCCATTGTGCCTGGCAGGAAAGGAGTAGGCCACCTGCAAAGCTGAGAAGTGATTATGCTGATGAAAACAAGAGAATGTTTTCCCTCTGGGTTCAGAATCAATCAGAAGGAACACACAACAGTCATATTATAATCAAAATATCTCAATGACTGACAGCTGAATTGGGGAGAGCAGCAAATGGTGCTTTCTGTTCCTTCTCCCCAATGTGCTGACATTCTCTGCAATAGCAGGTGCATGGCAAAGTGTGGGAAGATAATGAGAGTGTTAGAAAATGGGAGAAAGCTGGAGAGGTAGCTTGGGTCCATGTTTGAACAGCTTTTGATGCCAAAAGATAGGGTGTGTGCAGGTAGCACGCAAGCACACATATACAGTAAAAGAACATTTAGGTGTGTTTACAGATTTCCCTATCAGAGGAGCTAATATCATGAGGGTCAAGAAAATCCCTTCAGTTAGAACAGCAGTCTCCAGTTTCATCCAGGTTGCTGTGAATGCCATTATTTCATTACTTTTTACGGCATAGTAGTAGTCCATGATCTATATACACCATATTTTCTTTACTCGTTGATTGATGGGCATTTGGGCTGGTTCCATATTTTTGCAATTGCAAATTGTGTTGTTTCTCAGGAATAGAAAACCAAACATTGTATGTTCTCACTCATATGTGGGAGCTAAGCTATGAGGACACAAAGGCATAAGAATGATACATTGGACTTTGGGGACTCAAGGGGAAAAGGTAGGAGGTGGCAAGGGATAAAAGACTACACATTGGGTACAGGGTACACTGATCGAGTGAGGGGTGCACTAAAATCTCAGAAATGTTTACTAAAGAACTTATTTATGTAACCAAACAACCTATTGAAGTAAAAAAATTAGAAATTAAAAAATTGTTCTACCATAAAGACATATGCACATATATGTTCATTGTAGCACTATTCGTTATAGCAAAGGCATGGAGTCAATCTAAATACACATCAGCAGTAGACTGGATAAAGAAAATGTGATACATATACACCATGGAATACTGTGCAGCCATAAAAAAGAGTGAAATCATGTCTTTTGCTGTCAGACAGACAGAACTGTAGGTCATTCTCCTAAGCCAACTTAAGGCAGGAACAGAAACCTGAATATCACATATTCTTCCTTATAAATGGGAGCTAAACACTGAGTACATATGGGCACAAAAAAGAGAACAACGGACATTGGGGGTGGAGGGTTGGAGGAGGGAGAGGATTGAAAAACTATGTGTCAGATATTATGCTTATTACCTAGGCGATGAAATAGTCTGTATACCGAACTCCTGTGAGACGCAATTTACCTGTATAACAAAGCTTTACATGTACCCCTGAATGTAAAATAAAAGTTTAAAAAAATTTTTTTAATTTAAAAACAAAAGAATATTCTTTCAGGCTGGATGCAGTGGTTCACACCTGTAATCCCCACACTTTGGGAGCCTGACGGGGGTGGATCACTTGAGTTGAGGAGTTTGAGACTGGCCTGGGCAGCATGGTGAAACCACATCTCAACAAAAAGTACAAAAATTAGCTAGGTATAGTAGTGCATGCCTCTAGTCCCAGCTACTTGGGAGGCTGAGGTAGGAGGCAGAGCCAGAGAGGTGGGGAGGCAGCAGTGAGCCGAGATCATGCCACTGCATTCCAGCCTGGACAACAGTGTGAGACCCTGTCTCAAAAATAATAAAAAGTAAATATTATTTCAACAGTGTTTAGGGAAATTGACAGAATGTAAAAATTAGATTGGTGATGGCAAATAAATTTGATTTAGCATGCCAATTTTAATGAGTGAGCAGTGGTAAAGAAAAGAACTAGAAAAAAAGATTCTCTGATTGATTAGTTTGTCTAGCCTAGTTTCAAGAAGGAAGGTGGTAAATTGTATGCTATGTACTTCCATTGCTGTAATAGACTGTGCGCATTTGCATACACTGTGGCAATGTTCATCCTGATTGCCTCTCTATTATTATGTGTGACTAACAGTGAACTCTTTGACTGCTAACATTAAAGTTCATTAATTTCATTTTTAGGCCTCAGTATGGTGGCAAATTCTGTCCAGGTTCTAGCCGTATTTATCAGCTGTGCAACATTAACCCTTGTAATGAAAATAGCTTGGATTTTCGGGCTCAACAGTGCGCAGAATATAACAGCAAACCTTTCCGTGGATGGTTCTACCAGTGGAAACCCTATACAAAAGTGGAAGGTAATGTGGTCTCTATGACATTCAAATAAGTCTCTATGTGGATAATAATGTGATTGAACAATACAGAAGAAATTGTTGCCCGTATCAAAGAGTTTCCATGTTTACCTTTCATTCCCCAGACCCATCCTGGCCCAGTGTTTCATTCCATGGGTTTTGTTTATTTTTCCACTATATATTTTTTTTCCCATAAGATACCTCTTGTCTCCCACATCTGTAAACCCAAGGTTTCATATGTTTGGAATGTACTTATGTTTCTCAACTTACCTTTGACATTTTGGCAATTAAGTCTCCCAGGGATCTTAATTGAAATGGGTATGAAGTGTCCAGACCAAAAACTCATGAAACCATATATACCCCACAGAGGCACCATACACAGTAACTGACATGTCAGTTAATTACAAGCATGGGAAGGCCTGTTTGTAAAGTGTGTGCATGCATGCAGACACACACACAGAATCATAAATAAAAATTATACTAGGTTCTTGGTACTTACTATACTTAAAGTTATTATGGCTTGTATTTTACTTTTTAAATTAATATGTCTTTATTTTGACTGAATAATAAAACATGAGTTACAGCAGAACAGTTTAATGTAGTTGCTTTTACCTATGTAGAATAAGCTGTCATCATTCTAGTTGTTTCATTACTTCTATCCATTCGATTTATCAAAACGTATTCATGCTGTCTTGAAACAGGATTGTATGCGAATCCCAACTGCCCATGTGTAGACTGAAAAGAGACTAAGTTTAATGACAGTTCATGGGCTGTTCTGTGCAAAAGCTCGACATGAACCTATATTAATCAGTGATCATAAAGGAAGCTTATATAATTACAGGCATCATTATAACAAGTAGAGCCTCCAAATCAAACGAGAGGATTGTGCAGCTTTGCTCAGTATCAGCCCAGCCATTTCAGGAGCACTGATGTGGTTTTGGGTCATGACTATTTGTCCATAAAGCATAGATAGAGACAGTTCCAAAGCTGTGTCTTAGGAGGAAGTAATGAGGGACGTATAGAGGTTTACTGAGAAACGAGTTACATTCAAAACTTCAAAGAGCTATTGAATAGGAAGGATGTTCGATTTATTTCAAATTGCTTTAGAGAACAGAATTAATGCAAGGGCTGAGAACAATCTAGCCATATTATCTCCTCAGAGACACTTTCCTTGACAGCCTGTCAAAATATTCTTCCTTCATGTTGTTCTCTGAACGCTTTACCCCGTTTTATTCTTCATAGCTCTTCTCAGTGCATGAATGTATTTTTATCTAGTCATTTATTTGTTATCTTCCTCCCCACAAGAATTTAGGTTCCACAAGGACTAAGGCTTTTTCTATCTTGAGCTTGCTTGTATCTCCAGCATCTAAGAACAGCATTTGGTATATATTTATGTAATGGTTTTAACTTTTGAAATGAATGAATAAGTAACTAAATATTAACTGTCCAAAATGGAAATATACTCCCTCTGTAAGTAATAAGCTCCCCATCACTAGAGGCATTCTACCAGGAACTGAGTGATTTCAAAGGAAGGATGCTATACAGCAGGTCCCAGCAGATGCTGCAGTTGCTTCCAATTCCAAACTTGGAAGATTTCCTCTCTCTTGGTTATATACTCGTGCGAACCCATGCTTCCTGTCTGTGGTTCTTTCTCCATGACTCTGTTGTCCCTCCTTTTACTTCCTCTTTTATTCTTTGCTTTGGCTTCATGGATATTCCTTGGCCTTTATCACATTACGTCTTTCATTTAAATATAGTGTTTATGCAATCGGTCCTGTTATCACCCTTAAATAAATTCTGTGTTGAAGATATAAGGAGGAAGTTAAACAAATACAATTTGCAATTTAGAAAATGTTTGCTGGTTTCAAAGTTCTTTCACTAATTTTATTGCAGTTTTCACTGAGTAGGGAGCATGCGATTTCATTCATGCATGCGACAGATGTTTACTGAGCTCTTTTTGTGTAGGAGACACTTTGCTAGATGCATAGGAGAATGCATTGAATCAAACATAGACTCCCAGCCTTAGGATCTTACCTCTCAATGGAGGGAGACAGAAAAGTTAAGGCCTTCTGGTCTCTCCTTGTCTCCTTTTGATACTTACATCAGGGGAGACTGACCATGACTTTAAGGTCTTGCGATATTTCTGCAGTTAAGAAAGAACAAAGGAAGACTTTGTTTATGAATGTGGCCAATCTCTGTGCTACAGGAGTGAAGTTTTTTCCCTTCTTTCCTCTGTGTTTCTAAGGGACTCATAAACTCACCCAGGAATCTGTGCTAAAAGGAAAAAAAAAAAAGGGAACTTTCTAAAACTTGTTAATTCCTGGAAATGATAGAGAAAAGAAAGGGTATATAGGTCATCCAACTCCCTAATCTCATGTGCAGAAACTAGGAGGCATTAAATAAAGCTGCTATTTTTAAAAAAAAATAGATGAGAGAGAAACTTTTAACCCACCCACATATCTGCATATTTGAACTGTGATAATTTAAATCCTTTCATGTTTGAGTTTTGACTTTGTCTTTTATTGAGAGGTTTTATGAAGCACTATTTGCCAACTGTTGACACATTTGTAAAACTGTTGTTAGGGGATATCGCTCAATATCGCCCACAGAAGGTCTCTTGGGAGAAACATCATCTGGAATTCCTGGCCAAGAAGAGCTCTTTCTATTTGAGAAATTGGCATAGGAACTCCTTTCTGATAACAAGAGCTCTATAAATATATATATTTTTTTATTTTTGCCTCTGATATCAGAAACGTCTCAGGGATTTAAGGGCCAATAGAAGTTACCATTTTGTAGCTTTCGGGATGAGTTTATTTGCTTTCTCTTCATTTTTATGATATGGGTTTTTTTTTTCTATATATGTTTTACAAACATGACTAACCATATGACTTTTCTCCCTGGTGCCTAAAACCTTTTCTCTTAACAGACTGAGTAAATATCTAAAGTAATCCATGCCCTAAATCAAGGTCATCAAACTATGGCCTGCTGGCCAAATCTGGTGTGTATTTGTTTCATCGGGTTTTATTAGAACACAACAACACTACTTCATTTCTATGTTGTCAATGGCTGACCATCAGGCCTTTGAAACCTGAAAGATTTACTATCCAGGGAGGCTGGATAGTAACCCATTGATCATGTGTATGGTGACTATCCCTAAGGATGAGAAAAATAAAATTGTTACATATTACTCTTAAATTAGTTTTATATGGATTGTTAAATGGGACTCATGCTTTGAAAGTCACATAATATGGGCTTATATGTGCATACACACATGCACATATGCATATAACACTGTGCATAACATTTTCCATTTTCATCATGACAGCTTTCTCAGTAAATTTAATTCATCCATTTGGCAATCGTATCATTTTTCCTTAGTTTCCTCTTGACCATTTCCTATCTTGATCTCTTTGCTTCTAGAGGAAGATCGATGCAAGCTGTACTGCAAGGCTGAGAACTTTGAATTTTTTTTTGCAATGTCCGGCAAAGTGAAAGATGGAACTCCCTGCTCCCCAAACAAAAATGATGTTTGTATTGACGGGGTTTGTGAAGTAAGAGAATGTTTCTGCTTTGGAGTATATGAGCATGCTTGTGTTTCATCATATCATAGGTGTACTGTGAAGAGTGGTGTGAGAGATGGTGTGTCTGCAGAAAAGCAGGTGGCATAGAGGGAAAGGGCAAAGTGTTTCACTGGATTTGAGCACCATGTCTTTTTTTTTTTTTTTTTGAGACGAAATTTCACTCTCGTTGCCCAGGCTGGAGTGCAATGGTACGATCTCGGCTCACTGCAACCTCTGCCTCCTGGGTTCAAGTGATTCTCCTGCCTCAGCCACCCTAGTAACTGTGATTACAGGTGCGTGCCACCATGCCCGGCTGATTTTGTGTTTTTAGTAGAGAGGGGATTTCACCATGTTGGCCAGACTGGTCTTGAACTCCTGACTTCAGGTGATCCACCCACCTCGGCCTCCCAAAGTGCTGGGATTATAGGCGTGAGCTGCCACGCCTGGCCGAGCACCATATGTACATTCCTCATTTACTTGTTGCATGAGCCTTGTCCAATTATTTTAGTTTATTTTTCACTCTACTTGCACATATATAGAAGGAGACGATGCTATATCCTACTTTGCATAGGAGTTGTAAAAATGAAATAAGAATGTAAATAATAAACTTAGGCCAGGCGCAGTGGCTCATGCCTGTAATCCCAGCACTTTGGGAGGCTGAGATGGGTGGATCACGGAGTCAGGAGATTGAGACCATCCTGGCTAACACGGTGAAACTCTGTCTCTACTAAAAATAGAAAAAAAATTAGCCGGACGTGGTTGCGGGCACCTGTAGTCCCAGCTACTCGGGAGGCTGAGGCAGAAGAATGGCGTGAACCTGGGAGGTGGAGCTTGCAGTGAGCCGAGATGGCTCCAGTGCACTCCAGCCTGGGGGACAGAGCAAGATTCCACCTCAAAAAAATAAATGTAAATAATAAACTTCTATTACATGTGTACTAAGTACCTTTACTACACGATGAGAACTTCACAAATGTATTTTGAAATACTACTACTATTTGTCCCCAGTTATTTTTCCTTTCACTTTGGTTGCTCATTTTCTTTTCCATTTTAATTTTAGTTTGAGCCCTTTGATCTTTTAAGGGTGTGTGTTTGTACACATGCATGTGTGTCTATTGTCCAGCATTTTTATGTTGGAGTCACACAGCTGGCCTGAATAATCTCAGCTGATACTAGTAGCAATGGTGACTTCTTATTCCAGTTTCATCAGTGAAGAGCCTAAGCCTTAGATAAGTTATATAACTTGCCCAGTCATCTAATAATGTCAGGGTAGGAATTTCAACCCCAAATGAGTCCAACTTGAAGCTATGATTCTTAACCATAAGCTGTACTGCTTCTCTCATGTTCTGTAAATGCAGAGAACCATGTATCTCTTAATTATTCCCAGTTTCTGGCTTCTCCGATCTTTGATTTTCTCATGTTTTTTGTTTTTGTCACAGCTAGTGGGATGTGACCATGAACTAGGCTCTAAAGCAGTTTCAGATGCATGTGGCGTTTGCAAAGGTGATAATTCAACTTGCAAGTTTTATAAAGGCCTGTACCTCAACCAGCATAAAGCAAATGGTGAGAGATGCTGCTGTTTGTTATTGCTAATGAGATACAACTTTTGCTACTGAACAAATTTGAGTCACACCAAATGTGATTGAGCCTTTTACTAGTTCACTGGACACACTAGTGATGGTGGCATTTGTCACTTGTGCAAGAGTAAGGGAGGAGAGTTGTGAGGAATTTCGTCAATTCGTTACCTCGCAGAAACATACTAAATAAATGCCTTTCTGCTTTGCGTTTTTAGTATGCCGACCAGGCCCCTTGTATGTCCAAGTGCATTTGTTAAGCAAAGAAACATTGTGAAACTTTGGTGAACTCTATTCACAGTGTTAAATGAATATTTGAAGCAATTATCTAAATATCTTGAGTAAAATTAAACTTTTGATCCCTGTTTTCTGAATTTCATCATTGAAGATACATGGCTCCAAGTTTCTTCTAGAAAGTTGTTTTTTTTTTTTTTTTTTTTTGAGACAGAGTCTCGCTGTGTTACCCAGGCTGAAGTACAGTGGTGTGATCTCAGCTCACTGCAGCCTCTGCCTCCCAGGTTCAAGAAATTCTCCTGCCTCACCCTCCTGAGTAGCTGAGATTGTAGGCACCTGCTACCATGTCCAGCTAATTTTTGCATTTTTAGTAGAGATGGGGTTTCACCACACTGGCCAAACTGGTCTCAAACTCCTGACCTCAGGTGATCCGCCCACTTTGGTCTTAGGAAGATTTTTTTAAAATCTTCCTGAATTTTGTGGCCTTTTTTGGTCTGGGAAGGAGAAGTGTGTATTTCTTGTCCACAGAAAATATGCTTGGAAGGCTTTGGGAAGCCACATACATTTTCTCTCTAGTGTTCTTACTATTTGGAAAATGAAATCATTGATCATGTTTGCTTCATAGAGTAAAAATGAATTTAGCTAGTGATTCAAAAACCTCACTCTATAAAAATGAACACTACATGTCAGGGGCCATTTCTAGTCCCCTTTCAACAGTACATAGGGTAGAATTCAGACGTGTTCTCTTCTTTCCACTTAGAATATTATCCGGTGGTCATCATTCCAGCTGGTGCCCGAAGCATCGAAATCCAGGAGCTGCAGGTTTCCTCCAGTTACCTCGCAGTTCGAAGCCTCAGTCAAAAGTATTACCTCACCGGGGGCTGGAGCATAGACTGGCCTGGGGAGTTCCCCTTCGCTGGGACCACATTTGAATACCAGCGCTCCTTCAACCTCCCAGAACGTCTGTACGCACCAGGGCCCACAAATGAGACGCTGGTCTTTGAGGTAAGCCCCTTCTGTGTATTCAGTTCTCAGTGCTTCTTGCTACGTTTATAGCGATGACTGCAATTTGAGCCAGATTAAAGAACTCCAATCCTTCTAGTTCAAAGGTGTTTCCTGGCCGGGCACAGTGGCTCATGCCTATAATCCCAGCACTTTGGGAGGCTGAGGTCAGGAGTTCGAGGGCAGCCTGGCCAACATGGTGAAAACCTGTCTGTATTAGAAATACAAAAATTAGCCAGGTGTGGTGGCACGTGCCTGTAATCCCAGCTGTTAGTCAGGGCTGAGGCAGGAGAATTGCTGGAACCTAGGAGGTGGAAGTTGCCATGAGCCAAGATCATGCCACTACACTCCAGCCTGGGCAACAGAGCAAGACTCCATTTCAAAACAACAACAAGAAAAGTGTTTCCTAATAGGCTAAATTACAAAGTAATGGGGAGAAGACAGTGATTCCATTTGGAGGAAGAGGAAAGGAACCCAAAGGGCCTCTAAGAGGATGGGTAGATTTTCATATTTAGAGGCCAACCTTTCACCAATATGCTTGGGTTTCAAGAATGCCAAAGAATGTAGCAAGAATACTTTTTATATTATTCTGGTTTGTCTGTGTATGCCATTTGGATGCTCCATTGTAGCTATTCATAACATAGGTCAACTGGACTAGGAGAAGGGATTAATAGTAGAGAAAATGCTTGCTTGGGTGTCAGCAGAGTTTCGTCATACTAAACTATCATGATTTTGTAGGTTGTAGCTTCCCCATAGATAAGAAAAGGAAAAAAAGGGTAATAAAAATGATAATTAAAAGGACCAACATATCTGGAAATGATCTGCAAGGCTGTTATCATAGAAACATTTTTTTTAGTCCCCATCATGTTTCTGAGTGCTTTTTCTCTGTTTGTAAAATGGGGCTGACTGTTGGCTCTTACAGGCAAGTGATTTGCTTTAGGTTGTCTAGAAATGATACTGAGCACTTACATATCCAGGTACTCTGATGAGTCATTTTAAGCTTCAGTTTCTTACCTGTGAAATCGAGGTAGAAAATGGACTTCACTAACCAGAAACATAAGGAATCAAGTGTGAAAAAAGATTAAAAGACTTGCCTATCTCATACAGCCAGGAAAAAAACAGAGCTGAAGTGGAGTCAAAATATTTTCCACCCAGGAGTATGAGATCTGTGTAACACTCAGATTACTGTTCTCTTCTCAAATAAACATAAGATCAAGATCAATGCAACTGTTATTATTGTCATTATTATGATGACTATAATAGAGTAGGTTCAGGCATTCTGTGATCAGTTTCATGCATTCATTTCTTGAATGCCCACAACCACCTTAGGAAGATAGGTATTGTTACTTAATCCCCATTGTACAGATGAGAAAACCGAGCCTTAAAGAGATTGTGTTACATGTAAGTGGTAGGACTGAGGTTTGAACATAAATCTTTCTGACTCACTTGCCCACACCATTATCCTAATATATCACCAATACTGGCAAGGCTCAGCTACTTGTCATTATATGGTTTTTCTCAATGTGAAATGGTTGAACTCTGTGGGAGGTACAAAGCCTACTAGAGGTGGGGGATAGAGAGTTTGCTATTTGGAAACATCTGTCATCCAGATTTGAATTCATAAAACACTGAGAACATATCTGTGTATTTTGACCAACACTGACCTAGATCTGTGGCAACTAGAGGGTTGATCTGAAAAGTGACTATTAGGAAGATTGTGTTCATAAAGTTGTCTGATGATTTTTACTTGAAATAATTTATTTTCCTCTATCTTACATATGTTAATTCACGTAAGACTATTGGCACTTACTGTGTTCTTGGTGCTGAGGAAAGGGACATAGTGCTTGTTTTCTGGGCTGACAGCATGCTGTGTCCTCAATCATCTCGGGGTATTTTGATCAGATAAGTGATTAATAAGGCAGTTTTTCAGAGGCAGCTACTTCTTCTGTCTAAACTGAAGCACTCAATTTATTATCTTTCCCAGTTCCATGCACAGTGGGACTGGATAATTCTTTGAACAAATACCATGTACCATGATATTGGTATTGACCTTCTGCAGCTCACAGTGGTTTATGGGGAAAGCAGTAGAAATGAATTTCTCTTACCCAGTGTGTGGGAGTTTGTATTCTGTGTGTTGAGTTATGGTGGGTGAAATCAGATGACATCTTGGTTTCCCTAATGGATTCTTAGATTTGCTAGAACTTCAGAAAGCAGAATAGTGAAAATGTCCATACATTAAGAAATCAACCGAGGCAGGTGGATCACTTGAGGCCAGGAGTTTGAGACCAGCCGGGATAACGTGGCAGAACCCCATCTCTACTAAAAATACAAAAATTAGCTGGGTGTAGTGGTGCACGCCTGTAATCCCAGCTAGTCAGGAGGTGGAGGCAGGAGAATTGCTTGAACCTGGGAGGCACAGGTTGCAGTGAGCCGAGATGGCACCACTGCACTCCAGCCCGGGCAACAGAGTGAGTGAGACTCCGTCTCAAACAAAAGAAATCACTGCGTTCCTCTGTGTCACATGCACTGAGCTGCTCTTGTGTTTCACATTGATAGTAAACTGGGTGTATAGTAGTAGATAAACAGAAAAGAAAATTCTCCTGCTGTAATGAAACTTAGAATGTTGGAGGGTACAGTACAGCATTACACAAATGAATATATAAACAAAGGCAGATGTATAGATTGTGGTAGGTTCTTTGAGAGAAAATAAAGTATAAGAAAAAAAAAAAAAGAGAGAGACTGTTTGAATTAGAGAGTTGGTGAGGAATTATCTGAGAATTACCATGTGAGGTGAAACTTGAAGGATGAGAAGAACCAGCCAGGTAAAGAGTAGAGGAAATTCAGGCAGAGGAAGCAACAATTTAAAACCCCAGATGGGTATGGTGGCTTATCCCTGTAATCCCAGCACTTTGGGATGCTGAGGTGGGTGCATTACTTGAGGCCAGGATTATGAGATCAGACCGGCCAATGTGGTGAAACGCTGTTTCTACTAAAAATACGAAAATTAGCCAGGCGTGGTGGTGCATGCCTGTAGTCCCAGCTACTTGAGAGGATGAGGCAGGAGAATCATTTGAGCCTGGGAGGCAGAGGTTGCAATAAGCCGAGATCGCATGACTGCGCTCCAGCCTGGGTGGTAGAGCGAGACTATCTCCGAATAAATAAAACCTCATGTGGAGAATCAACTTAATATTTTAGAAGAACTAAAAAATAGGCGAATCTAACTATAGCGTAGTGAGGAAAGAAAGTATTGAGGTGTGAGAGGGGTATAGTGGGGGCGGGGTTGGCCCACAGCTAATATAAGCCATGGTAAGGAGTTTGGATTTCATCCCAATAACAACATCAGGATTTCAAGAAAGAGAGTGGTTTACACCATCCTGGCCAACATGGTGAAACCTCGTCTCTACTAAAACATACAAAAAGTAGCCGGGCATGTGGCGTATGCCTGTAGTCCCTGCTACTCGGGAGGCTGAGGCAGGAGAACCACTTGAACCAGGAGGCAGAGTTTGCAGTGAGCCAAGATCGCGCTACTGCACTCCAGTCTGGCATCAGAGCAAGACTCCGTCTCAAAAAAAAAAAAAAAAAAAAAAAATTCAACCAGGCTGCTATGTAAATAAGTGATTAAGAGGCAAGAAGCAAACTGGGGAAATAGGAAAATGGTTCTAGAATTCCAGGTAAGGAGTGACAGACGTTGAAACAGGTGGTGACTGTGAAGGCGGCAGGATGTGGATCTGTTTGCAGTGTATTATAGTAGAGAATTGGAAGCTAGAAAAGTTACTAGAGATGTATAAGAAATGAACTCTGAGAGAGAAAGATGTGGGAGAGTCTCAGGTTTTTTCCCCAAGCATTTGGAGGATGGTTTTACCACTATCATTGTCTTGAGGATGACTGGAAACAGGTTTAGGGATAAGGGAAAATTCCATTTTAGCCACCATATATTTGCAATGTATCTTAGATATTCAAGAGTAGCTATCAAGTAGGCAATTGAGTATGTGTTTAATGCATGAAAAAAAGCCTTGGAATGAATATGCAAATCAGTTCCTAAAAATACCTAAAAGAGTATAGCAGTATATCATTTGTTAACTGAGCAGGGCACTTGGATCCAACTTTTCTCTGATAAGCTGCCTCTTGGGAGAAGCCAAATAATTGCAATATCCAGAATGTGCCTTGTGAAGAAATATTGAGCCTTGGTTGACACCACCAATAAAGAGGAGCACGCACCTGGCATGGAGAGGCGTGCTGGTGCTGGAAACAGGATCTTCACAGATGTGAGGGCATTTGTATGTAGATGCAAATCTCTCATCTAGTCTTGTATGTGTGCCCTGCACTTGCACACCCACAGACATGAGAGTGGAGATGCCCTCATTCATGGCAACAGGGATGGCATCCTAGCTGTTCTTCCTGCTGTTGCTCCAATCGTGTATGTTTCTATCCAGATCTTAAGGTATTTTAGATCTTTCTGAATCTCATACACAAGAGCTATGCAAATTCAGTTTACAGTAGGCTTTGCTACTTTATTCCCTTGATGACATTTGTGACCCTCTGTGGAGGCAACCAGAGAAACCCACTAAGTGCCAGTTTCACAGTTTTAAGACCACGCAATCTATTATTCAGATTTCAAAAGCATAGCATTTTCCATAACATCAAAGGACTATTAGTAGATAATAGAGAAATACTTTTTTTTAGGCCGTGGTGGTAGAAAATGAAGGGTTAGTCTCCCTTCATTTCTACTCCCAAGAGTAGTGATTAAGTAGTACTAGCCTTAAATATTTACTAAGGAAGAAGAGTAGCAGACAATTAAAAATAAAACACACAATCTTAAATTCTAAGATGTTCTACACACGGAATGGCTGAGAGTACAGACTCTTAACTAGCTATATAACTTGGGCAAGTTTCTTAATCTCTGTGTCACTTAATGTCTGTATTTGTAAAATGGGCAAACAATACCAGCAAATTATTAGGGCCATTATAAGGATAACTGAAGATAAGTTCAGTGCCTACAAAGT